AAAAGGAGTAACAGAGCACTGAACATGAGAACCACTGCGTTAATCAATCTAGCCCAACAATCGATCATTTTTTATTAGTAAATTAAACAATCTGTTCAGAGTCACCTGCATATCAGCCATCTACCGCACAACAGAGTCCGAACGACATCACTAATAGTATCGCTACGCCAGTCCAAAGTTACCAATACGTTCCTGTGGCCTATCCTGGGGGTAAGCCTTCCAATTTTCTACTGCAAGTCGCCTACTTATCATGCGAACTTGATATTTTCGTCAATACTCGAATAACATTATAGATCGACACCTAAAAAATCTTCTAGAGTCACCAACACAACCCGAAGACGCGATTAATAGAGTCGACGAAGCACCTAGAGTGTCTTATGGAGGGCAACAGGGCAGTGTGTCTGGATCAGATATTCACCAGTTTCAACCAAATAAACCAATCTATTCATCAGTCGACCACCCTATTCCACAGCCACGACAACCACCATCGGATATTGAGCAACACATCGAAATTGCTGGTATTGTTCGAAGCTTTTATCAGTCTTACGAATGAACTACGAGACAGCATTCGTAATGATTGCTTTGAGATACGGTGAAAAGACAAACGAAATTTTGCAGACACACCTTCAAGGGTGGACTCTTTGTCGCATTCTACGAGCAATTTCGGACAAGACCGCGATATGGCATTAAGTTGTGCGCAAGCAAGTGAAACGGTTTGAATATCTAATTTGTTCTGTGCCATTTACTCGATTTCTATTAAACTTATTTTTCTTGGTGAGGTTTTGTGTTGAATTGTAGTGTATGTAAACTAGCTATCACTTGCTAAAATCTTCACTTTTGTCGCAAAGATTTTGTGATTAGTAGGATAAATATCGTTGCAAATCAAACGTGGAACGAAAAATTGCATCAACACACTTGTGGTGATTCATTGTTCTAAATTATTTTGCGACACTTTGAAGCGCATTTTCTTGAGCTGCTCGGTTCATTTGAGAATCTTGATCGAATGTGCTGATCTGAATTGAATTGCTCAATATGTCGATTCAAATCTCGTAGCGTTCGAGATGGTATTGCAGATACAGCCTTGTCACGATCACGCAAGATGCATCGACTATAATCCTGGTTATTGCTGCCAATGTTTGGACGGCTATTATGGAAATGGCAAAGAATGCCTTAGAAACGGTAATCCTTGTTACCTTCTGTTACCTTCGGCAGTGTTTCATTCAGATTAGTTACACACGTTCCAAGAATCGGCATTCAGAACAAAGTTATTGACTGAATGGTATCAGAAATCCCCTGCTGCAAAAGATTTTAAATCATAACAAAAGATTTAAATCATCGAAGTAAATATTAAGTGAGTGAAAATTTGGAGTTCATATTCAAATTTTCACAAACAGTTTTGGTACTGCAGGTGATCCACAACGTATCAACGGATACTTCGAAGGCGTGATAAATGGAGAGGAGATTGGTCGAACCGATTTGCACACGTATGTGATGACTGCCGAGGGACGAGCCTACATGGCATTGTCACAGATTCCAGCACATCTCGGACGCTCACTACTGCTGCTGAACCCAATTGGTAGTGCAATGGGTTGGCTGTTCGCGAAGGTTCTCGGTTATTAATCCAGATGATTACATCTTAGAAGCTTAAAACGAACATTCGATCAGATTGTTTGACATTTGTCTGTTTATTGCTACGACCGATGATGCACTCACTCATCTGACACTGAATACCGATTAGAGAATTTTGAAGCTTTTGAAACTTGAGAATTATTCTGTCAATTGCAGTTTTTCATTTTTCAGGTTGAATCACCATCATCTTACAACGGCTTTCAGTTGACAGGTTTTGACTTTCTTTTAATTTTCTTTACACAGCCGTTCGTCTCTTAAACAAACGCACCGTGAATGAACTTCTTGCATATCCAAAATTTTTGTCATTTTGATCGAGTAGTGACCTCCCGTTGAGTGTTTAGTAAGCAAATTGGATCACTCTTGCCGTTTGCTCGGATTTATTCGCTGAAATTCCCGCTGAAATACTGAATGCACTCCTCAGGTGGATGAATAGTTTGTATGTTCAGGTGGCCTTTTCAATCGCACAATCAACGTTCACATTGGTGATCGGAGTGCGGTCACCATAAAGCAGCAATTCTCGGGTCGCGATATTCATCACTATTTTAAAGCCAATGTGAGAAAACTCCTAATTCATGAGATTTTTTTTAGAAAATTTATTTAGATAATCAATTTCTTCACTCGCAAATCAATCTATATATAAATGTAATTTTAACCAGTGAATAATCACCTCATGTAGACAAATCGAGTTCCGTATGAGACAATCCCAAGGAAGTGTGTTTGCAGATATTCGTGACTGGAACACTTCCACAACTTGCGGAGGGTGTTCAAGTGATCTATCCGGATCATGAGGAGGAGTATCGACGTGAGGGTCCTGGCTTCGTGCGTTCCTACTCGTCACTTGATGTGCTCGTCAACGAGCACGGCCAAGAACGCACTATACGTTTAACGATTGACCAGCAGATCCACTTCGCCGAATGTCCTTACAAGACGTTCTCAAAGGATTCGATTGTGGTGGTGAAGGTGACCCGACCGCACGTTGTCTACGATACTGAAGAACGAATTGTTCGCTATGCATCTGCAAATGCGGCCACGAGTGAACGCAGTCATATAGTTGTCGAAGAGGCCACAGATGAAGGTCAGGAACAACAGCAGCAAATATCAGCATCAGGGCGGCACTTGGCTCATGAAGCAAGGGATCCGTGCGCGGAGGGTCATCATCTCTGTACACTCCCCAACATGTTTTGTACTCGTGTTGATCCGTCATATCGTTGTGAATGCCAAAAAGGTTATCAAACAATGCCCGACGCCTCCACACATCTCGGATGGAAATGCATTGGTTTGTTCCATCAACGATTATCCGATTTCGTTTCTCTGTTTTTTCGAGCAATTCTAGATTGAAGTGTGCTTTTTGGTAGACATAGTTGCGTTTTGATTTGGAGCAAAGGATGAGCAAACGTTTTAGATTATGATATTGACAGTCGCCAGATTGAGCCTGTATGCAACTTGAATTGTTGCTTTAAATTGATATTTACTGGCCATGTTAAATGGGTTCGTGTGACAGTTGGCAATAGTAGTTGGTTGAATCTTCTTCATAGAGCATCATTGCTACAGATTTGAACGAATGCGATCGCGGTGATCATACATGCGATCGAAATGCCGTTTGCACTAATACTGACGGAAGCTTCAAGTGTGACTGTCGTCCAGGTTATGAAGGCGATGGATTTCAGTGTTACAGTAAGTTTTTATTTTCGGTAATTTCCGTATCTGTTGTAAGCGATTGCTTTGTCCTAACAATCTCACAGTCAGTCCGTGAGTGCGTTTTAAACAAGACATACGATTTCATGCGTGAAAACCATGAACGAGTCATATGAAACTAATCGCTCGCTATTGAATTCGTAAATTTCGTCGGATAATAAGATGGTTTTCGGGATTTTGATTATCAATTCAGTGCTTAATGATATTTGCGGTTTTATGAACCGGTGATCCAACAAGTGAATCGCAAGGTTCCGAACAACCATCAAAGGGCGGATGTCACAGTCATCAGGAATGCCATCAATGGGGTGAGTGTGTCTTCGGACACAATGGTCATCCAGGTCACTGCAAATGTCGAGGATGGTATGTGGGCGATGGCGTCAAGCACTGCGGTCCACCAGGTTCGTTTTGTTCTGAAGTGTACCTTGACTTGCATCCATCCCTGACTAAATCGTAATATACCGTTTTCTCACATTTAATTTCATTTCACTTCCACTGAAAAACACTTCTTATGTTGTTGTAAATACTTCTATNGTCACATTATTCATTGATTTGATGTGATATTCCAGAAGAACAACCTCGAGTTCCAGAGCGTGAAGAAATCGATGAAAACTTGTGTGGCGGTTACACGTGTGATGCAAATGCTGATTGCATTACCGTACAAAGTGGAGGAGTGAGTTTTAAAAATATTACTATTTTACAAGTTCTGCTATATTTTCCTTGTGTTCAATTTTATTATTTAAAATGATCCTCGAGGTTACATTATTCCGGACATATCGAACAATAAAATCTGTTCTTTAGTATTGTAATGTTAGTGATCATACAGGAAAGTCTGCTTGAATTGAAGCATCATTTATTAGTGCAAATTTTGATATTCACCAGATCTTTTGAATGTAAATGGAAAATTTTTTTTGTTTTGAATTTTCAAAGGTCCTTATAGTCACATGATGAAACATCACCGAAACCTTCATCGGGCATGATTTGAAAAGTCCGATGGTTGTGACAAAATTTATTCCATTCATCCAAAAGAGTGTTCGTTTTCAGGAGCAGTGCGTTTGTCGCCGTGGTTTCTATGGTAATGGCGTACAATGCGAGCAAGTTGCGGACACGATGCGCCCTGCTGTGCATACAGTTAGTGTAGGTGAGGGAAGCATCATTTTATCAAATGGCAAATGAGAGTAACGCAATCCTGATGAGATGCTTGCTTCAGGAAGTGTGTGCCGTTCGCATGACGAATGCGGTGAACATGGAAATTGCGTTTACGGTAACGATGTGGGATTCTATCGTTGTGTTTGCGTGCCACCGTATAAAAGTGACGGTACTCGGTGTGTTCAGGATGAAACTCAAGGTAGATCGAACATGCTCTGTTGTATTTGTTTACACGTCATCGCTGCTTGACCGCTTGTTCCTTCTTATATCCCCTAGAAATAACTTCGGTCAGGAGAGCTGCTTGTACAGCTCTCCTGACTGAAGTTATTTCTAGTCGCTTCTAGCTTCAAATGTTTGAACGTTCAAATTCTGTGGTACACTCAAATGCTTCCTTTCAAAGTAATTTTTATAAACTTTCTGTTCCTATTCCTTTCGCTAGTCATCGATGATGTGGTTCAGTGATGTCGTGATGAATTTCTTCGTAGCCATTTAGTCTTCTGGGTGATTTGAGCATTCGTGGTCGATTCGACGCTCAGAATTTGTTCGCGGTCGAAGCAGAACTCGAAGAACGGATCGTTTTGAGCATCATCATTCAGCCGATGCTTAATCGTCACTTCTACACTTAATACCACGGCTTTCAGACATTGAATCCGTGCAGATGTCATGTGATTTGGAGAATATTTGTGATTTGAATGCGGATTGTGTTTTCGAAAGAGGACCGGATGATGAGGGTTACTATCGTTGTATATGTAGGCCTGGCTTCACTGGAGACGGCATTCGTTGCATTCGAACCACAATCGATCATATTCCGTTCGATACATGTGCGCAAATTTGCTTTTTGGCATTGTTTAGTTTTTGACGTTGACTCTCATAGCACCCTATTGCTTGTTGTCTCCAACGCATCCATTCATTCCCTTTTGCCTTTGCTTGCGACATATAAAAATTGCTTCTGATTACTCTCCATATGATTATTTCATTACCTGAATAGAAAGCAACTTGACAAAAATTCTGAGCTCCTGCTTCGCATACACGTTCTTCTTGATCTATTGCTTGAAATCACTTGAAATCAGGCATTAATTTTTGAACGCGTCCTCCTCAAAATGCCCCTTATTATTCACCATTATTTCTGTTCCATCACAACATTTTGCCGATACTCAATGTATCAGTTTATGGCACAGATTTAAAATTCACTGAATCGCATTACTGTCAGCGATTCAGCTAGATCTTTTCGAATCACGGTGGATAGCGCTATGGCGAGTACGTGCATTCAGTGCGTGAATTTGCTCCAGTTTTCATAATGCTACACTTCAAAACTGATAAATGTCAGTCATCTAAAGTCTTTTTGGTCTGAACTACCACCGCACTTGACCATAGCTAGTTATCGACCATTTGAGTATGTTTCTTTATTGTAAAAGAAATATGAATATGCAATTGAAACGCTGAAGCGGTTTCGTGTGGTTGTGCAGTTCGTTTCTGATAAATTCGAAATGATTGAAAGCAGAACAAGAAGAAGTTTTAGTTGAGCAGCAGTATTGCGATACGTTGCACAATTGTGATGTGAACGCTGAATGCATATTCGACCCTCAAATTGGTCATTACATATGCAGATGCATGCCCAACTTCGAAGGTGACGGCTATTCATGTCCACCAATTCATCCACATCTTGTCACTCAACCACCACAACCAACAGGTATCGACTTGATCGCATCGATTCATTGTTGCATGATCACTTATCCCTCTACTCCTTTTCGGGATCGATACACTTCTTTCTGAAGTGATCTAATTTCATTTTGTTCGTTAGACTAGAATATTATATTTGATTGGTGTTTTATTTTGACCACTTGTAACATTTTTACCACAGTTGTTGTTGTTGTTTAAAAGTTTACCACTTCACATATTTTAGCAATTAATCTGATGATTTTCAACAAAATTCGTCGTGAATAGTCTGGAGTAAAATTCTCATTTGAAATTCTCACTTCGCTAGACGTTGAAAGCATAAAAATTGATTCAGACGTGCGGCGGTCGTGCCATGACGCGAGCGATTGTCATCGTAATGCGCACTGCGTGGTTCGTGAGAATTCATTCGAGTACTTCTGTGAATGCTTGCCAGGCTTCAAAGGCGACGGTGTTAATGTGTGCAAAAGTGCTGGTCAGTTGACATTATGCCGTATTTGCAGTCATGTCATTTGTCAAAATAGGTTCTGAATTGCAGGATGCGTCATTAGAAAGTTTATTTTGAATTTATGAGAACTGCGATAGTCACCGATTACCGTTTGTTAATTGGCGATATTGAATGAAAGCTGATTCGGTCAGTATTATTGAGCTTCAACAAATCCAATTTTGTGTACATTTCAGATGAATGCAATCCCACCGATCCGCAAACTTGTCATGAACATGCCGAGTGTGTTTATGGCCAGGTTGAGAGTGCTTTCGTTTGCAAATGCATTCAAGGTATATTTATTTGAAATTTGATAAGTAATCCACGTTCTGTTTGTATCCTACTTCTTCACTTGTATAACACTACACAATATTTGAGAATTAAACTTGTAAAATCTTCCGAGTACAATATGCAAAATACATATATGTATGGCGTTATAGGTACCTTTTTTCATATAATGAAGCTTGCGATGAGCACTAATGAATTTCTTCACCCCATTCATTTCTCAATAATCGTGTGGACCAATTGAACTAGTACCCTGACAACTTGCCTAAAGACGTTTTGCCTAAGGACAGTTTGCCTAACGGACTGTTTTAAATGGATATTTTGCCTAATAGGCAAACTGTCCATAGGCAAAGTGTCTTGAGGCGAAACGTTTTTAAGGTAATTGTTCGGTCAGGAACTGAACTATCGATTTATCGCAGTTTGGAAAAAAATGGGCAAGAATGAGAGAAATTTTAATTTGATCGGGCATTTTTGTTGAATTTATTGACCATATTCAAAACAACGTTGCCGAATTTTGAGAATGATGAAAATGAATGGTTCCGATTGCAGGTTATGTTGGTGATGGTCTGACGTGCACTCCACAAGCAAGACCGCCGAGTTGTGATCAAGAACCGACAGTTTGTCATATGAATGCTCAGTGCATTTATAATACTGAGCAGGATAAACATATTTGCATATGCCAGCCGGGTTCAATTGGTGATGGATATAATAGTTGTGAAATACAGGGTTTGTTTCCTTCTCTTCCTACGAGTCTCTTCAATCAGTTTCCATTTTGCGTCTTCTAGTGCGATTCGAAATCATGCAGTGATCACGATGTGGAAGCACGATAAGCTCGAAATGATATCGGCCTTTATACGAGACTCTTGAATGCTGGGCACAACGTGTCGCCTTGCTTGCTTCTTTCTTGTCTTATCTCGTTAATGCTGTTTTGTTTGACTGCACTTCCACTGGAAAGACTCTACAATGGCCCATGGCAATATGGTGTTTTCAAAATTTTGCAAGGGTATTCCTGCTTTTGTGAATATTACTCATCGGGGTCACTGCGGTGAAGAGATCTTCCTTCAAATAGATGCACTGAAAAGCACACGTTATCACTAAAGTGCCATACATCCGGAGCGGTTGTGCATGATCATCCATGTATTTGAAATAGAGTTGTGCTCATGGCTGTTCGTTCTGTTGCGCATTATTGTAGCGTTATCGCAAAATCACAAAATGAGAGCACCATTCAGATGCACCTCGTTGTGGCCGTTGTTCCACGTTTGCACGTTGTGTGCAGCAAGAGAATGGTGCATGGTCTTGTGAATGTAATCCTGGTTATCAGGGCAACGGACACGTCTGTTCAGCACTTTGTAAGTAGGCTTCGTTTTGCTTGATGTCACGTCTTTATTACGTTGCTATGATGCAGTTGTCTGCTGCTTAAACGCATTATAATGCACTCCTTACAATGCGTTTAGGAGACGGACAACCAAAACCTTTATATTGTAGTGTGCCAATATGTGCTATTTCAAACGGTCAAATCTCTCAAGCTCTTTCATTTACTGAGAAAATATAGAACGAACGATTCTCAAACGAAGTGTAGTGTGTTTAAACTGAACGACTCAATTTTGTATGTGAATGTTACGTGACTGCTGATTAGCATTTTGCTTAACCTATATGCTTTTTTAAGCGAGTTGTCTTGATGATCCGTCAATATGTGATCCGAATGCTGAATGTGTTCCTGGTGGGCATGGACAATACGTTTGCAATTGTCATTATGGCTATCACGGAAATGGTCGGACGTGCACACGTAATGATTTCTTTTCTTTAACATTCATACAGCATTCATTCCGTCAGCTTGTTGCGCTTTCAGTTCGAAAATCTGTTAGAGCGATTCTCAATTTTGAATTCATTCGTTCAATAAAGATGCGTTCACGAAGTAAATAAGCAAGCATTTCATTTTTACATCTTTTCAAGAGGTATATCTGTTGACTGATTACTTGGTAATGTCTGCGATATGTTCAACATACACAATGCTCTGTATTTCATTTTCATTCGTTTGTGGATTCCTTCGGTAAATANCTTGCTCACGACCTTCGGTATCAGCTGAAATTTTGCAATGCTTTACCCTCGTCAACTTTTTTGGACGCGACCTATGAAAAAGTGTTCTCATTGATGAGTTCACAATGATCGATGAAATCCAATTATAACTTGTCGATGCAAACTTATAGTCGACTGTTTTCGCGCAAGCATATCGATCAAGCATCACTTCAAAACTAAACTATACTTTAGTTTAACTAAAACAATTGTAATTGCTTGAAATAATAAGAACTAAAATACTCAAGCGTACATTAGTTGTTTCAAGCGATTTACTTGTATGTGCCCTCAGTGTTTACAAAAATTGCGTCATTGGCAAAGACTGAAACATAGTAACAAGGTGCAACATCATTAGCAAACTTTCAGCTGATACCGAAGGTCGTGAGCAAGGTTTGTTAATCGGGCGAGGAATGACCGTTATTCAACGCGGTACCAATCCGGATATTCATGGAAAGCAGGTTCTTCCAAATTTTTTGTTCATTCCAACACAAAGTTCTGCTTTCATTTCCTCTCATCTCATTCGGGCATTTATTTTCATGTAAAAGCCAATCGTTTCATTATGATCGAGAATTTGATCTTTCGATCTATTCGATCGATCTTTTTATATTCACTGAAGAATTAACTGCGCACGAAAATTAATTTTCACTTCACGTGAAACAAATATTCATTGTCAACTGATATTGCAGCTGGTCGTTATTCCGCATCAAATCGTCGTCGGTATCGATTTTGACTGTCAGGAAGAGCGCATTGTTTGGAGCGATATTTCGGGTTGAATTTCTTGTTCCATTTAATTTCTGAATTTCATTCGGCGTTATATGCGATCAACACTTAACATTAAATGCTCATCATCAGCAACACCTCGCTATAGGGCACGCTCTGCGATCGGCTTCGATCAACGGGACGGATGAGAGGAAATTCCTTCAGTCAGAGCTGCAGAGTCCGGAGGGTATCGTTGTTGACTGGTCGTCGAGGAACGTCTATTACGCCGATTCCGTGAAGGATGAAATTGGTGTGGCGACGCTCGATGGTAAATATCAGAAGGCGTTGATCACCGAAGGGTTGGTCAATCCGCGTGCCCTTGCCATCGACCTCAGAGACAGGTAGAGATTTTTAAAGTTGACCCTTTTAATCTAATTTTTCATCGTAATTATCTATTAGTTTAAGTTTGCCATTTCCAGCTGATGCTCAGACAGTTTTGTGAATCGAATACTTCAATCACTTTAAATTGATTTGGTAAATTAACGAACCAATTCAATGTTGAGTAAATGTATGAGTCAAACATACAAGTTACTATTTTTTCAGGCATCTGTACTACTCGGATTGGCATCGTGAAAATCCTCTTATTGGTCGTGTTGATCTGGATGGTCGAAACAACAAAGTTTTCATCAATACTGACTTAAATCTACCAAATGGTGCAATTCCTATGATATTTGTTTAAAATTTTGTATCGAAATGTCTATGAGGAGTAGTGTATGTTACACCAAGAATTGATATAGCATAATTGAAATCAGTTGGTGGAAATGAATTAATTGAAGGTTTAACAATTCTGCAAGAGAGACGTGAGCTGTGTTGGGTTGATGCTGGTATGCAGCGTTTGTCGTGCATTGGATTGGATGGTCACAATCGTCGCGTTGTATTCGCACCTTTGGAATATCCATTCGGATTGACCAATCATAACGAACAACGCTTTTATTGGACCGATTGGAAGGAGTCAGTATTCGATTAGCAAATGAATATTGCTTTTAATGAACAATTATTGTTCATATGTAGTTTTCGCTGAATACGTGTTTATGGCTTTTCACTAACGATTCTCAGAGAAAGGACCACAATTAATGCATGCTTGAATGAGACGTCTTATTACTCAGCGTGGTAGAAATTTACATAAGTGTGTATTTCTGATACAATTCTCTTCGGATTTTGTTTGAATTATCGTATCCTTTCAGTAATCAGATTCATTCGGTTTCAATTTACGGTGATGGATATACGTCGTTTCCGCCAACGATGGGAGGTACGGGACGACTGTATGGAATAATGTCTGTGCCGTTGCAGTGCAAAGGAAGTGAGAACCTTTCAATTATGAGCATCAAACTGAAATTGTCGTTAATTCTCACAGTAAACAGACACTAGCAATAAGTAAATGTGTTCCTTTATGCGATAAATACTTCGACTCATCAAGTCTTTTCAGCAGCAAACGGTTGTGCGGTAAATAACGGCGGCTGTCAGTATATGTGTTTACCGGGAACCACGCAAGTGCGATGTGCATGTCCGGATAATGTTCAAGATCTTGAAGGATGCTCATAGATTTATTTCTCAACAATTTTTGTTTGCTTCTAATCTCGTTGAATCTTGCAAGTTCAATTGTTTTCACCACAGTTTATGCTACTCTTCGTGCTGTCACATTTCAAAGCCTCTTTTCGCGTTAGAGATTTCGGAATTCACTCTGAATAAGTCTAACTTTAAGTATTTCCTCGTTGAATTTATTTATCGATGTTAAAAACAATAAAAAATTAATTACATAGTCTTTAGTTTGTGTGTAATATTCCACTGTATTTTGGTTTCATATCGTCACTGAAACGATTTGATGAAGCCATTTAAGCGGTTGCCGAATTACCGTGCTTTCGGGACTGTCACTGATTTTGTGCAAAAGTTGATAGGCTTGCATCAACAATCACAAACATAGTGTTTGAATCGTTCAGATTCTGGAGGATTGATGTGGTGATTACGGTTTTGCTACATTAATTTTAAATTCGTCGTGAACTGTCAGATCGATTGATTAAACGATTCGAGATTTCCTTCAATAATTGCGAAGGTGCAATGGTACAACTGCCCACTGAAATGTTCACCATAACCAATTATTTCACACTATCAAGTGATACACATTATATGATGTTATTATACGACTGATTCGAGCCTTCAATCAATCACTAGCAATGCGTATTGATTTGTTCCTTTTGTAATGTTTCGTAAATAATTTCCCATCGTTTCTACTCTTAATTGACAGGTGTCTTGCCATATATTGCTTTATATGTTTTATGTATGCCTTCGTGTTCTCTGTACTGTTATATTCCACGAATAAATGCCCTTATCGTACTTTGTCGGTTGTGCTTATCAGCTTTCACTTGACCAGTTCAAACCCACTCTAATACCCACTCATTTGGTATGCGTTCACTGAAGTAAGAAAGAGTCACTCGAATAAGAAAGGGTCGCATGAAACCATAAAAATTATGCAATTTTCTTGCGAAAATAATTTCGTGATGTGACTTTGCTTTTACATGTGAACTTTCTTACGTNTCGAATAAGAAAGGGTCGCATGAAACCATAAAAATTATGCGATTTTCTTGCGAAAATAATTTCGTGATGTGACTTTGCTTTTACATGTGAACTTTCTTACGTTTGAGAATATAAATTTCGCTTTTCTACGATCTAATTGTAAGACAACTGAAAACATTCGAAGCAAATTGTGTTGAAAGCATTTTAAGCGCAGAAAATGACAAAAGTAATGACCCCGACGTGATTTGAACACGCAACCTTCTGATCTGGAGTCAGACGCGCTACCGTTGCGCCACGGAGTCTTGAATATTTGCTCCTCAAACGTGTATAACAACAATAGTAGACAACAATTTAATCAACGATATAAACCATAAGCAATAAATGCGTATTACTCGCACAAGCGTTTTGTTTTTCTAGTGCTTAGCAAGTCAGTTTTAGCTTCGCTATGACTTTAGCGTGAGCCGCACCTTTTGAATTTTGTTCGATATTTTAGTGATTTCCTCCGTTCAGTTTCAGTGACAAATACTTACTCTGAGGCATTCTTATTGATCCAAATTAGATATCCGAACTGATCATGAGCTCGTTGCGTCTCTGCAACTCAGTCATTATCCTATCTTATCGTAGTTTCGAAATCCGTAAGCAAGTACGTACAATCAAAAGAATTTCCCTTGTGTAATCGACGCTTCGAATTTTTGGAATTCGCATATTCCGATCGATATGATAATAGCACATAATGCTAGAATATTGCATAGGTTAAAATGTTGACCGTAACGGTGGATTGTTAGGATGGCACGAACTCGGTCACAACATGAAATTTTATCACATTATATTTATGTACAATTGCAGCGACAAAAACATGACCATATAGACGAAAACATCGAAAATATTACTGAAGCCTTAAAATCACGCATGTCACCCCTAAAAACGTCACTCGGTTGAGCATAACAAGGCTTAATTACAACTGATGGATCAACGCAGCCAACAACTGATCCCACCAGCATCGACTGAACATAAATGGCTCATCACAGAATCATTAAAGACGATGAATCATCACATTTCATAACATACGAGAATTTGAGAGCTATGAAAGGAGACTGAACTGTGTGAGGATTTGGAATGAATGTTTCGAAATAAATTCAATCAAAACATCCGTTATTGTTCGTTGATCCAATTCTTCAGTTATAATTGGTTTCATGCGATTTGAGAGTTGTATTCTTGAGGTGAATTCCCTTTCGGTGTATCGTTGCAGCAGATCATGTGCAGCACCTAATGCCCACGACATCTCCATGCCTCGTAAACGCTTCACCAACTGCAACGACAAGTCATTAAAATTTTCAGTCATAATTCTAAAAGGCTACAAATGAATCGGTAAGAAAGACTACCACTCAAACACCGACTTCCTTGGTCAATTACTGAAAATATTTCGTTAAAGCTCAGAAGAATACCTAAGAAGTCTTTCATATCCTTCTTCATGCATGTGATTATAGAAGGGATATCTCAATGACGATTCTAATCTTGCATTCAATTTTACACTTCCAGTCTTCTCAAGAATCAATGAAACCACTCACATGTAACTCTTTATGTTCGTTTATTCCGTAACCATGCCGGAGAAGCGCATAAATATATGATAAGTCAAGACACTGCCACGCTTGCCACTCTTCGAAACCAATCTCGGCTGGTGAACGGGAGCATGCTGCAAGAGCATTAGTTGCATTTGAATGCCTACAAGGCGCTGAATATATGCATACAGTTTTCAATGTGGCAATATTAATTGTAAGTAAGATCGAAGGCTTTGCAACCAATTTCGAAAACAGCTGCTTTCTGTTTAGATCAATTTGGATAAAGCTTCAAGAATCTCGAAACCTTTCATTGCAGCATGCTTGAAAACGTTCAGTGTTGTTTTATGACGTTTGCGGATATCATTTGGATACGAAATGATATTTGCTTCCAATGCACGGTCATAGAAGTAAGAGAACGCATAAATATCGCAGTCGTTTATCTCGTCCAGTCGCTGGATTTGGGATTGGTTGACGTACGCGATTGACGACTGCAGGCATTCATCAAAGGAGGATTCTGAGGAAGCACCACTGAAACCAGAGGTTATTTGACCTTGTTTCATTGGAATTAATGCTGATGTAGTTACTTAATCCTGTTTCATTAGAATTAATGGTGCACCTATCTGTATGAAGCAAAAATTGTCAACCGAAATAGAAGAAATGATTCAGCAATATGAAAGCTCACGTCACATTCCACGCTTCACCCGTATAGTCGTACATGCTCGCCGTGAAACCAGCTGGGAGACATTTGCTCTGAGGGGATTTCAGTTGGCCAGATTCGTTTGCATTTTTGACAATGCCAATGCGAGCAGCCACCAGACCATTACCCAAGTAGCTGTAAACGATCGATCTGTTATATTAGAAATGAATGACTATTTTGAACGTTCCAAAGCACTTTCATGATACCATCATATCCACGAAACAATCACCATACCTGCGTGTGTAGAGCTGGACGCGATTACCGAATACGTTGAGTTGTTGTGAGAAGTTGGACCTGTTGGTGTTGTCGAACACTCGATCTGCTGCATCAGCTCTTTCAAAAGTAACTTGAGTTGATCCACCGCCTAAATCGAACGTTGCACTTGTTCGCTTATCATTTGACTGATTCACTCTGTATCGAGCTGAAAATGTTTCAGTGTGTTTCTTTACTTTCATTCAAGATGCAATTCTAGGAAAATGATTCGAAACGAAGAGCGTTGACACTCACTGGAAATTTTTTGTGGAACAGAATTTTGTGTTGAATTTTTTTGATTTTTGTGAAGCATTGAAAATTTTTTGTGCTTTGCTCATTTGTGGAACAGAATCCTGTAAAGCTTCTGTTGTTGAATCATGCATCGAGAAGCATTCATACTTTAATCAATCGATGCAACGTATCAACTCAGATATACGCGCATACTAAAAATCAACTTGTCGAATTGATTTTGGTGAGAATGATTACCGTTTTGATTTTGTGCGATGACATCTTGAATACGATCGGTGAGGAGATTGAGTGTGTACCACGAGAAGACACCCTCGTCAGTGCCACTCATAATGCCGACGCCATTCTCATCCAATACAAAACCACTTTTCAGCACCTCATCTTCAACCTCAAAAGCAAACATTCACATGTTGTAGCATTACTGATAACCTATTTACATTGATAACATTATCACTGATTGATAACCTCTTTACATTGATAAGAGGATCACTATATCAGTAACCAATGACATCACAGATCAACAGACAATACACCCCCAACTAAGTGTCAACCGGAGTTTCGTTTTTCGATGACAAATCAGAGGACAGTTTTTGTTCAAGATCAAGTTACTGCAAGATGACCCTGTAGGGACATTTTGATTTCGACGTGAAACAAAATCATATTGGAAGTGGAGCGGTTGTGTTTTATATATGTATTGATACATTCACTCACATTTGAAATTTATATTTTGAAGGATATTTCTTATCTCATCGTGAGTGAATGCATGGAAACTTCAATTTGCAAGTTATTCTTGATGGATGAAACTAATTTCAGCAGAAACTGCTAACATGACTCAAAATTCGGTAGGCTTGATCATCTGGTAACAAACGAAGCCCGGCAGTTGCTCGCAAGGTGATCGGTGTTTGATGCCAATAGGCTTTTGGTACAGCTGACTGTGCTGCAGCCAGCAACTCGCTAACGCTATCGCCGGCTTTCCGTGGGTTCTGAGCGAATGATGAAAGACCTGGTTTCACCTGAAAGAATTCCATCTTCTAGGCTTGACTTTGAAGTAATGCATAGGTTAATCTAATTGAACAGGATGTTTAGAAAGTTCATTCGTAATTGCACATGAAAAGCGCAAAATTGACTGACGTAAAAAGAAGCGGTGCTTATTATGATGAGATAAATGAAGCAAGAGATGTTCAGGCAAAAACCTCTTTGAAGGTTTCCTTCTCGACGCGAAATGGCAATAAAGAATTGTTGAGATCGTAACTGAATTCAAACAGATGCATTCTTGTACCTGTGGAACCGGCATCTATTATAATGGTGTGCAGTTGACACGATGTTATCGCCTAAAGAAATGTTATGATTTAGAAGTAAAACATTTATATTTAACCTAGAGATTGCGATATGAATTCGCATTTTCTGATTGAAGAACAAATCTGTCGTCAATCATCTTTTCAAACATTTTACATTAAGTCTTCGTGAGGTTTTTCAATAAGTCTCAAGCGATTTTTTTCTGGAGAATGCGAAATTCGTTGTGTTGAGCAGTGACGATTATACTACACCGAAGTGCGAGTTTAAGAGCGATTTCATCGCTATTCCAAATGTGCGTATTAATTGTGATTGACGAGAGTTAATGCCGAGTGAATTGACTTTAAGCACATTGACTGAGCAGTTGAGTGAATGTAAAATCAGTTTCGCTGACCAGATTCGCACAATGGACGGAGTGGAAACATTTCCTTCAGTTAATGACTTTCATATCGCTTTTTGTTTTTGCAATCTTCGCAACATAAAAATAATGTCATTGTTTAATCCATTTTATCCGCTTGATTTTCAATGGAATGTATCGAAATCCCGGGAATTCCAGTTTGTTCACAATAAAAAGAACGACTTTGAATGAAAGTAGTTGGGAAAGAAGCAATTTAAGAGAGTGAAGTAAACCTGATCAGTTGATTGTGCTGACAGGCAGTGCTTGATTTCATTGCTATCATTCGCCTTGAACCAGTACTCAGAAATTGATTGTTCAGATGAGAAGACCTCATTCACGATTGAAACTGTTGCGATTGCGAATAGCAGAATTAGGAGGCGATTCAAAAAGTTCATCGTTTAACCACAAAACTGAGAAATTCAATTCCACAGAAGATCGCTTTTCAATCGTTCCCACTGATTATTAAAAGCAGTTGATAAATAGTTAATCAAACGATTCAATCATGCAGCTTCGGCGATATTCCACTATCACCTCAAGAATAGAAACTGTAGTGCCCGACCGATAGACACTGCTACTAATTAAATTTGGAGTAATTAAATATCATTACGCATCTCCTCGCTGCCGATGATGTGTACCCTTAAAAGCACTATTCTGTGAAGAAAGCAACTGGTTAGTAAAGAAAGCACGCACAAATGTCACTCGCTCAAACATCAGTGATAACGATGCAAATGTCGTTGACAGACCATCAACGACCATCAACCCTCATGATTAAGTAACTAAAAAAAACATGTCAACATCGCATGCCCTAAAAAAACTACGTATGGAATGACGTTTTGAAAGACATACGGAAAAGAAATTAAATAATTGTCACTTCAATTGATTGATTTGATATCGTAACGAAGAGAGAAACGAATACGGAATTATTGAATGAAGAAAGGGCACGAAAAGATTATTTTATTGTGATCAGTGGGCAAGTTTAAACGGAATTTTAGCTCAAAATTCTCACAAGAAGTCACAGTATCAAGCGTCGTTTTGAGAAAGAAAAAAAACGACAATTTTATAAGCAAACAATCGTTGAAGCGAGAATTTTTTTGATAGTGCTTCTTTCACATGTTCACCTATGGCAATATCAGGAAATCTTGCATCATTCGAAAGTAAATGATCGCTATCGTCTCTGACAAGCAAGTGGAAAAAGTTCTGCCGCTGACAAAAACTTAAAAACTGCTCAAGCAAAACGAACGCACACAAAAACGTTCAAATCAAACGAGTCGTCGACAAATCACCATCATTTACACGACATTGACCAGTGCATATTTCTATTATGATGACGTTTCAATCGTCACAAACTGAAGTTTTCTCAGCTGCCAGTCAATCGAATGCTAGACGTTTTGGCAATTCTATTGATTGCAATATTACGCGAAATACTGCTCTAAATTTCCAGCTTTGAACTGTAAAAGTTGCACTGCAAAATTGAATCAGTCCTCGAATATGTCCGTAAAGACAGCGATTTTCATAGTCACTCAAATAACGGAATGTCGAACACAACGGAACCTGATGATGGTGTTAAGAACTAACAAACGAATGAACGATTTATTGAAAGATGTCAAGAGGAGATTGGAATGAGACAAGGACGATGCAGAATCGATCCGATTTTATCACAGCATTTATCATTTTTCAGTGGACTGCGTATGCGAATGTAAACATCGATTTATTACGACGGCATATTCGATGACTCGTTGATACGATGATCATTCGTCTGCATACGTTTGCATACGAATTCACGATACACATCACCACCTAACATTCAACCTGACATGTCGTTAATTTATGTGTAAATTATGATGCAATACTTGATAGTATACCAGCAAGCTATCGAACAGTTATGAAAATTTGATATTTCAATGAAAGTTTCAGATAAATCAATTGAACAAATACAGTGAATATACCGTTAATTGAACATTTTGTGATGTTGAAGAGGCAAAGGTCAACCTTTGAAGTTTAATCAAATAACAAGTTATTTGCCTATGGAACATTTTTTTCATGATAATAAAATTCATCAGCTCTGTGGACAGCACACGTGTGGGTTTTTTTGGGTACACCAAATAAATGTAGGGAATCACTGAAGTGAAACAAAGGACGTTGTCATCTCAACACTCGATAAAAAATGATAAATTTCTTATCAGGTTGCCATGAATATGCATGGAATGTCCTCGAATCAATCACTTCACTTCTTTTCAGTTCCGTTTGCGATGATTTCTTCCAAACAGAAACATAAATTTAAACAGATGGAATCGAAAGCATAAAGTAACCAATCCAATGACGCTAATAATAGTGAAAATGATAAGAATAAGAATAAGGGCGAACTATTAACATTCATAAGAATAAATCTATTGCATAAGCAACGATATGAATTTTGCGAAATGAATTAATTCTATTCTGTGGAATTGTATTCTGCTGGAAGATTGCACAGCAGTAGAACCAGTTTGTGTGTGTGTCATTAATTTGTCATTCAGCGTCGCCTTGCACCTCTTGAAAATTTCTTTGGAACCAACATTCATACATATTTCCCAAATCGAAGGCACTCTCATGCACAAGCATCACTTATACATGTTATGAGGAAGTGGCATTAAAGTGAAAAATATTGATATTTTACAATGGGATGAATTCAATGATCATTCGATATCGTTGTTCGCTGATCCCGAACAGGACCGGTGTAATGAGCCATCTTGAACTTTTGAAATTGCAAATTCTATAAACCAGTCAGATGTATACGAATACTTTGTAAGTGTAAACAATTTGAATGTTTATTAAAATTTTACAGTGTACATTTTTACTCAAATAACAATGAATATGATCAATCTTCTTTTGATGCAGATGTAAATGTTTTATAAGTTCTTTTGATAGGTACAGCTTGATGAATTTCAGCACGTTTACTCGTCTCTCCAATCGCCTTCAGCAGGTTAGCGATATCGTCGAATCGATCACGATTCTTATAAGCAAACTCAACACAGTCCCACATCATCCTGTAACAACAAGCAATCAAGAAGCATTTAAAAAGAATCTAATTTATTGAAGGTCACAAGATTTTTATGCAATGAGCAATATTATGAGACTCGCTCAAACACGTATGAGACTTCGGTTACGAGTTGAATTGTTGGCGATATGGTTATATTCTCATCGAAAACATGACTAATGGAATGGCAATAAAGTGACTTACCCACAAAGGCTGGAGTCATCGGTACAGTCCAAGGGAATATCACCTGACAATGGTGCATTCAAGCGAAAATACGGTACGTCAATTGAGTGACACCACGAGCGTGCTCGAACCACTGGCGCGCCTTCTGCTAATGTAGCCTGAATTTTGAGCACTTTTATTTGCATAGTTCACGTGATATAAAGCAATCAAGATCATAAATTTAGCTGGTTGATGCACTGAATACTCAAGAGTGAATAAATTCATTGCATCGTTTTTCAGCGACTGTGACAGATTGTGATTTGATCTGCAAAGATACTAACTTGATCAATGATAACAATGCCGAGACTTTTGATGGCCATCACAGAGCTGACCAAACTTCCGCCGAATTCAAGACTTTGTGCATCGAGCGCTTTCACTGGATTGACACCACTGCCCACACTCAACACACATCCCAATCGTAATTTCTTTTTGCCTTCTTTCTGAATACAACATATCAAAATTTTGTGAGAGTTCCTGAAATTCCCTAACGTTTCCGAACAGCCGTCAGAAAATTTAACTTTTCGATCAAATTTCCCGATATGGGTGGAAAATTTACATAACATTCTCACGCGACTCTGCATGAAAGTTTAATGAGCGAAACTTACACGATGATGATATCAGCATACATTAATGAAACGTCTCTAAACTATAGCAGAATATTCACCTTATACTGAAGAACACTGTTCCAAAAATGTACTTCGCTGAGCAGCTCAAGCGTTGGATTATTCGACGCAATACCACCGTCAACGTACTTGTTCTCGGACGATGGGAAATAGGTTGGCGCCGCGCTCGATCGACGCAAGGCACGCCAAATTTTCATATCTGCAGTCATCAGAATGTATCGTCGCAAAATCACCTTTCACTTTAGAATCAAACGAAAGAGCATTCGCATGATCAACAAAGTCCATCGAACGCAATATGAACGAATCTCACAAAACAAGGCATCCGTTTAAGAAGCAGTTTATCAAAAATTCACCAGATGGGCACGCATATCCCAAATCATTGTTTTCCTCTTCTGAAAGCGGTAGTTCGTAGTTGCGCATCAACTCCAGTTGTACAGGGAATGTTTCCACACATACTGTTGGAATTATCAACCTAGAAATCATGATGATTCCTTTCTGATTTTAGGTTAAAGAGCAACTTCGCTGCACTCAATGGGATAGTCATTTGTCATGCGATGTTGAACCACCCCATTCAGTTGCTATTGCTTACGAAAAAAAATCATTTCTGACCTCCACTGAACGACTTCAATATGAAAGTAGTGAATGATATTGATGAGTGACCAACTTTGGGTATTTGAGATCACCAAGTGTCTGATCATTACCAAAGGTTTTCTTCAGAAGCATTTCAAACACACTCGCATCGTATGGTCTCGATCCACTAAAAACGCAGTCCTTAACTCGTAGATAGAGTTGAAGACATTGTCGCAAATCGTATCCTAAAACACTCGTAAAATCAGAAAGAAATTAACATTTCTCATGCATGTTCCTGACGGTAAGAGCATATGAAGAGTCGGAAAAAGGCACGAGCAATTGTTTCGATGGAACTTTTTGTAGCACTTATGAATGAAAGAAGTCATTGTGAGAGATAATCCTCTAAACTGCTCTCGCATGTTATTGAGAAGAAACAACCTGAAGCGAGTGCAGCACTGATCAAACTTCCGGTACTTGTTCCGGCCACCCAATCGAAATAATTAAACAGTGGTGCCTCCAAACGTTTTTGTAATGCAAGTAACAGCTGAACATGGCAAATGAGCAATAAGTAACCACTCTTAGCAAATCACGTCCATCAGCTAGTAATCTAACTTGTAAATGAATGCGCACACGTCAAAACTTATGCAGATCAGGTTACCAAAACTTTGTTACTCACGATTAATATCTCACTGGCGTATATTCAACACCATATATTCAAGCTATCGAATATTCCAACCGGAATTTCTAAATGACCAATTCTTATGAATTCAATTGCGAACTTGAATGGTAGCTAATCCTCGAACGCCGCCTCCATCCAACGCCAGTGTACTGATCATGAATCTATTGATTTCTTTCTTCTTGTTTAAGTTATGCAAATATGAATAGACCCTTTGAAGTGATCTCTGAAATGAACATCTGATAAATGCATTGCATAGCAAGAATGAATTCAGCAAATTTTTTTCAATGAATGTTTTCGGTGCACTGTGGCTGGTCACCTTATTTGGAACAGAATTATTCAGGGGAACATCTCTCGAATTAATCAGTGATGATTGTCCCAGATCCGCATTCAACACGTCATAACACTTCACCATTCCGTTGACAGTATTGCATAACTCCCTTAATACCTTTCTGTTGGACACATGGCACTGCTCTTTTCAGTGTCAATTACCAGTAAGATTCAACCTATTAGTATGGCTTCGTATTGAAACTGATCACAAAACGATAATCTCAACGAAAATTTACGTTTTGTGAGTAAAGCAGCGGTAATCTTCGATAAACTTGTTTTCGGCGGTTTCTATTTATGTCCGGATCCAAATCGAAGCCATACGCATTCATTGACTGCTTGTCCTGACGTAGTTCGGATCATGAAGTGACTCAACAACCGAAACGAATCTTTCTCAGCTCTTTCGAGTAGTCTAATTGTAGTGACTTCGGATAGGATGAATTCATTAGCAGTACGTTCACTTGGACTCTGTGCATGTCAAATGTTGCCAGTAAAATGATTGAAGCTATCGAAACCATATTTGGATAATTCAACAAATGATTCATCATCTCCACGCATTTCCTTTCGAAACTTCAACTGCAATACGATCTTATGTCTGTACTTACCTTTAAATCAACTGAATCCTTTGTGCGTGATACAATTGGGCCTGAAATTATAAGAATTGTCAATTTATACTTGCTATCACTCGATGAACGGTCGCACAGCAACTTCTCGCCTGAATCAGTCCGTATGGTGCCGCCTCTTGATGTATTTCCGCATTCATTTAATAATTTAATAATATTTCGGGAGAAAATTTGGAATAACGCATCAATTAAAGAGAATAATTCCGTTGAAAAATTCAGATGTGACTTATACGAGCTGTAGAAATTCGTTCATACCAGGTGAGGCTTCTTGAGGTGAATCAAAACTACGAGCTCTTCTCATATCTGTCAGATGTGTGCGTTCAGCCCTGGAAAATTTATCATTTTCTCAACAAAAAACAGATATCTTCAATGCTCTATTCCATGTTCCCACCAAATTTTTCCCTTGCACCAGTTTTTTCTATAAATTGGCAAGAGCGATAAGTTCCTCAATCAATTAATAGATTCTGAGATCAAAAAAAATATAATTGAATAAAATTTCGCTTTCCTGTGGGGCAGTGGTTCTCACAGGGGACCCATTTTGAGTAATTTGGAGGTGTTGGGGGGTAATGGAGGAGGTTGGAAAATTGGATCTCGTGTCGGAAAATTGATATCTTTTCAGTGTTTCAATAGGGTTTTCATTCTTTTGCTTGCTGCTACAATCACTCTCATCGCTTTTATCACCGAAAGTGTTCTCTTTTGCCAATTTCTCATTCATCTCATTCAACTATTAAAGTCAAATCCTCATTATGTCGAAGCACTCTATAATTGATCATTTGATTGTCGAACGTTGTTGATCAATAATATTTGATTGATGTATTGTTGATTTCGGCTGTCAGCACTCGTCAACATATTCAGTAGACAGTATATGCTACAGAATGAGAAATTAATTCGAACTGTGAAGTGGAATGAGACGAACTGAATGAGAAAAACTTATCAGGAGAACGATATTCGCATGAAATAGCTATGAGAGTGAATACAACACGTCTGAAAAGAATGAGAATCCATCTAAATCAGTTTGAAGTGAGCGTGTTGTAGACAATAGCTTTTCATGCAGTCACAATCGATTGCAATAATGAGGAACACAACGGTCTAAGAAAAGGCCTAGCCATGTCAAATACCATCATGTTGTTCTTGTATCGGGGGGGGGGGGGG